GCTGAGAATTGTGAAATCGACATTCGTATATGTTATATTCAGGAGACTTTAATCCTGTCTAACTGACTACTGATTCATGGATAATGGAGTAAAAGGACGCAAGTAGTTGTCTTTTATTTCTACTTGTTAAATAAGGGAAGATTTAAATGTAATGTATATCTCTGGGGTATTTTCGGCAGTTAATGTAAAGTACATTGTAGTAGGTAGTTTCTAAACATACTTCATAAAGGTAGAAGTCCGTCAGAGTCTACTGAGAGTTGAGCCAAGGAACTTGCAAACTGTCACTTCAGTATTGTTATACGTGTATTGGCTGTCTCCCAATAAATTGGAACCGTAAATGTTTCCCATTTATTTAGAAGGTAGGTGAAATTGATGGCTTTTCTTTTAAGCATAAGTGTAAATGAACAATATTTACTGAGATTGTTGGTATTCTTGTTTAACGTCAAGTATAATGTTTGGGGAATGTTTCTTTTGTGAATTTCCAAGGCTACACTCACAACGCTTAATGAAGTAGCGTTATTTCTTATGATTATTAGTTGCATTACAACAATAAATTTTGCATATTTAATTGTACTACGAACCAGGAAGTCTCATCTCAGTTTTGATCAGTGGAGACTACTTTTAAAAGTTATATCTTAGCAAATTATGTATAACATTTGCCAATTTGACTTTACTTATTTTTTGTTTGTTTTATTCTTTTCAACCATTAAAGGCGCAAAAGTCAAACTAATTCTCTGTATCCAATTCAATTTTCTTGCCTTCAATACAAAAAAGAATAAGAACAGCATATGAAACAAAGCCTTGCAGCAATACTTAAAACGGAAGAAATGTCTGTTACCCTATTATTTGTTCATTTGAAATGTATCTAGAAAAAGTTATACTACGGTAGCTTAAGTTTATCCTGTTCTATTCCAATTTCCTATTGACCACACTTTGTTGAATATAATTTTAGTGGAATATGGATGGAGTGAAGCAACACAAAGTTATAGCATTAAGGATAAAAAAATTACTGGTAACAGCCTTTATATGTAGCCATTTAATTATTCAGTTTGACTTTAGTCGGTACAGCTATGACGGATGACTTTAAAGGATGCCCTAGAAACTTGTGAGACAGCCAATTACATTGCTTTCTTTTATGCAAAAGTACTTTCTTAGGAGAAATGCCGAAGCCTGACTGGTCATTTCAGTAGATGTTAAGGTGGCCTTTAAAGCCACTCGCTATGAGTATGATTTCTATTTCTGTAGTTGTATTTTGTAGGTGTTATGTTTTCTGAACTGAGAGAACGCAATACCATCAAAATTATCTTCTTGAGCTACAAATATTCTCCACCATAGTCGTATTTCTTTTCTTCAACCCATTAGATTTAAAAATTATTTCCGTGAATATAAAACAAAAACAAAACATAAAACCAACTACTACTGCTGTTATTAGTGGACAAGATGCTAACTTTTTCCACAGTAAAATGTAAGTTATAATTTCAAGTCAGTATCGAAATTCACTTGTTTGGTTTACAAAAAACTGGTTATCGTTGAGGTAGTTTTGATTACCAATAGATGTTACTTGGAAAACTGGTTAAAGCGAAGCGGAACTAGACAGTTTCTGCATTTTATCCTAGGAATCCTGAGTGTAAGGTACCCTCGGCAGGTGTGAGACTCAATCTTAACCATTTTTAAATTCAGTTGCTGCTTTGTTACCTTCAAGTTAGATAATCATTTCAACCGTAGAATGTGATCAATGATGTTATACTGCAATGTTGAGTCCTCAAAGTCTTTAAGACAGGCTGCAAAGTCATATACCTGCTCATAATACTGAATGATCAGTAAATAGAATCATGAACTAAATGAATTCTCGAAGTATAGACTACTTAATTTCCATTTCTGTAACCTAATAGATTTAAATATGACTTTTGGCTGTATAATGCTCAGTCTCTTATGGTGCTGGGTGTACACTTTGCTGTTAATTTGAAATTTAGGTGGCAATATCTATTTAGTGTTTATTGGTGTTGACTGATTCAATAACTGGTCACACTTATTAAGAAACTGCATTCAAACACATGACGTGACGTTTCAACAACCAGCTTAACAAAGCCGACGCAGACAAAATTTCATTAAATTAATCAAAACATGTATGGAACTAACGTATTATAAGTAATTTTTTAATGCAAACTTTACACATTTGGTATGTATGCTTTATTTATTAGCTCAACCGATGTCAATGTGACCTAAACTCTGACCAGTTGGTGGACAACTGGACCAGCAACCTGGTGTTCACTGCTTTGAATGCCTCCACAACCCAGATTTTCATCTTACCTTCAATCATCATCCAGTATCAATGACACAAGTCTGCCATTTCAGTCAGTCAAACTGATAATCAATATGATCCTCCTTCTCTCCAATTCATGTAGACTTGGATTAGGATGAGAAGTCCTGACTAGAGTGAATATAACACTGTGTCAAACATAATATAGTGTTTTATCTGACAAGCAATGACAAAAATCTTACTAATTTCACGCTTGAATAGCTGACCACTCATGGTTTTAAAAATGTCTCTTTCCACAAAACTAACAGTAATTTTGCAGATTACTGAATGAATCAACAACAGACAGGTTTATGCTTGAAATGAGAATTACTAGTTCCTTTAGAAGTAGGTAGATGATTTACCATACGCATATGTAAGTCCAGGAGTTTTAGAACAACTTTGAGTTTAGTTCTTATATCAACAACGAAATTTAAAATACACGAATCTTGTTTACTTGCTACCTAGCAGCAGGGTTAAAGGTGATAAGTTTAAACAAATCGTTATTCAGGTTACAGCGCTGGAGATTAGTCTGTCATAAAAAATGTACTCTTCGTTCAGTATTTGTAAACAAACAAACAAACAACTACCCAATACCAATGAGGGCAACATTTTCATAGTAGGTAGCCTAATTGAGCCTGGAATTCTTTAATTTTCTTATTTATAAGTATGTGAATGCACTATATAAACTGTTTGTAAAATCTCCAGTCTAACAAATTTCAGTTTAATAAACAAGACATTAAAACTGAGTGAGTGTTGAACAAATGTCATCAATCGAATAGGGAAGAAAGGTAGTTGTGAAAAAGTGTTTAAAGAGAGTAGTATGTAAGAGCAAATGTAATCCAGTTAAGGTAGACATATTCGGGAACCGTTAAAAACAGGGACAAAGCAAACTTAGAGGCTTAAGAGTACTTACCACATCAGTATGAAAAAGTGTAGGTTATTAGGATAGATGCTTAAAGTAGTGGTCAGATTAAATGTAATATTTAATCGTTGGTATTGTCATTCCAAGGCAACTATATACACTTGTGTTCTACTCTCTCATTTCATTTTAATAAATATTTTTCTGATGTAACGCTAGGAAATGGTTAAGACTATTTTGATAGTTTGAATTATCATACCTATCAGCTACTCTGTTGTGTCAGAAAAGTAATTTAATAAAGGTTTCAAGCACATTCAGTCGATATTTCGTGAGTAACCGGTAGTGGATTCTCGGATGTGCCTTCATCCTATCTTGGTTTCATCGGCTTGGTGTACCTCCATTCCAGTGATGGTGTCCTCACTGAGACTTGATATTTCCGTACATGAGTAGTCTTGACCGGGACTTGAGGAAGATGAACACTGGGAGCAGTTTAGTCTATGTATTTGCAGCCAACAGCAAGCCAGTGGTTGCAATCAAGTTATTTAACATAAAGCTGCCTTTGCAGAGGAACATACTTTTTCATTCCCACAATTCACTATTAAATACCACTTGTAAACACTATTAATAACGAACTGCGACCCAAATTTCAGGCCAAAGGATATTACTAGACAAAGGTAATGTGATTATCAACATCTACACAAATACATCTAAATTGTTTTCAGTTACATTGAACCACTGTTACTGATGTCAGTAAGTAGAGAGAAGTAGGATAGTGATCTGAACTAAGATGTTGAGAATTGAACTGTCAAGGAAATATCAAAATTTACTTTACAAGGACGAAATTCCAGCTCATTATGCCTAATTTTCAGATTATGTCTAAAACTCTGCATATAATCTTTTTTGAGTCTAGAAATAGCATCTTTATATCACCACTAGCTCATAAGTAAACAAATTGTATAATGTATTATTGAAGCATATAAAACTTCTCCCTAAAGAATGTTGACAAAGGTGGATTTCGATCGTTACCGTCAGGATTTCAAGTAATTTTCATATCATGATATTCACAAAAAGTAAAGTGTTTCGGGTGATTCTTTTTACTGATCTATAGAAGGAAAAAATCTCTTGTTTGCTACAACCACCACACTACAGAATTCCGTACAGTATAAGTATTTTCTTTGTGAGGAACTAATGCTGAATTTATAACGAAACTGTATTTTATATGATTACAGAATATTATTTCAAAATGCAATATATTACATGATGACTTCATAAAATAAATCATACTAGACGTGATTGGTGAGCACAACAAAAGTCTTTCTGAATCAAAGATTATCATCCGATGCAGATACCACACTATAGTTTCTCAAGTTATTCGAAATCTGCTTCATCGCAGCAATCAAGATAATGAAATATCAGACAACAATAAGTTATTCATAATGTGACAACTTTTAAGTGATAAAGCTACAGCCAGTGGACTTATCGCGAGCTCTAGCTATTTCCTAGTTGTCGATTATTCGTACAGGCCTCTAAATACTGACCACCAGGTCACAGATTCAAGTTTTGTTCGCCTTGTCTAGGCGTGTGAAACTAGATAGTATGCTTTCATTTTTTAGATGTGTTTAGTAGGCCGCTTGAAAAATCTTTATTACATCGCTGTTTTGGAGATAACTGTTCGATTTCCCAAAACAAATATTAACCTTAACGGGTTATTAAGAAGAGTAAAGTTAAAACGAAATCACTGTCTATAGGTCAAACTTATATATATTTTTTTATTATATTTTAAAAAATCATATTTCCGGTAAAATAACCTTAAATATTATTTACTTATTGTCTTAAACTTACGTTCTATCAGATGACCAGTGTGGAGTAAGATGCTATAATCATTGGATTTGTAATTTTCATCCAAACTACTTGGTCCAGAAGGAATGAGTGAAAGCGGAACTGGAACACGTGCTGAGTATACATTGGCATCATCTGACTGATGATCGGATTTCACTGAGGTACCCGTAAATAATAGGGGTGTTAGTCTGCAGTTTTCATCTAAGTATGGAATGCAAGAATATCAAAAACAATGAAAACTCGATTGAACACAAGCTGAAGGAAGTATTCTTATTATAAAACGTTTCTTAAAATCACTACTGAGCGGTGGTATGCGTTTACATCGAATGTTACTTCTCTACCAGACTGAATGATATTCTCTTTGGTAAGGGCTCTTAATTCCATTGTAATTTGTTTCTAAGATGTGTCACAGTTAAACAGAAATATCTATTTGATAACTTTTCAGAACTAATTTATTGTCCATATTCATATCAGGACTTGTCACAACTTTGACACTGCTTATATAGTTATGATTCTCGTTTCCTTCCTAATCTGTACGTTACCTGACAACATCACGGTCCGGTTTTTCAGACAGCGAAACGTACTTTTACGTTGCCTTGATCCAATAGACGATAGATTTTTTTTAACGACAAATTGAATTTTGCTGTGTATGATGAGATAAAAATTCCACTCATAATTCAGGTGACTCATAAGCAACCATCATTTTTATATTCGAGCAAAAATAATCATCGTAGCCATTGTTACATTTCGAGAATATCGGTATAATTTTGTTTTAATACTTTAATCGCACTCATGATAATAATCATTTTTTAAATGCATACCTCAGGAGTTATTTCCAAACCTTACATGCTGAATAACCTATCTGTATATAACTTGCTTAGACAGTTTATCAGAAACGTAGGCAGCTGATCGAATGACGTAAATATGCCCAAAGGACTTCTCAGTAACAAACCACTAGAATTTATGTTTGATGTGTCTGGTGTTGTTAAACGAACTCTGGTGCAATGAACTGCATTGTTGTCTTCATTGGTTGAGTTGATCACTGCTGAAATTTTGACGGTACTGGAGATAGTTTCTTGGTATATTGTTTGAACAACTTTCATATCAGTTATTAACTTTAATGCTACTGCAGAGAACTATAGTTTATTAGAGGCTAATCGGCCGAAAGCCCTGGACTTAGGTTTCGTGATTTTTGGCACTTGTCAGCAAGGCCTATCTGCAACCTCAATAGGACTGGTGTCCAAACTGATATTCGAACCCGGATCACCCAGTTTTGCAGTCAAGGGTGTTACTACTGATCTATTCTGGCCGTTTGTGACCTTCTGTCGGTCTGAGTTAGGTACAATGATTAGTTACTGGAGAGCAACCTATTAATGATCTGTAATGATCCACGTTCGAAATCAATCTACGCTGGTCACATATGTATGTTTTGCATACTACGTAAGTATCAGGCACAGAATTTAAAATCTGTCGATGTTATTATGAGGTTAATTCACTATATCAAGAGATCAGAAACTCCCAAGTGTATAAATCATCGGACACTTACCTTATATAAAGAAAGTGATTTGAAGTTCAGTAGTTTTAAGTTTTTCAATACGACGATTTTAAAAATCTTAAGAATAATTTCACTTGGTTACAACAGACATCATGTATAAAAAGTGTGTCATTATATTGAAGTAATTTTCCACTTGTTGTTGCTTTTAGTTTCTCGTCGTTGATTGGACCAAACTGATCGGTTTATCTGTGTTGGGATATGGCCTCCTGCGTGGATGCTTCGATACTGCCTGTATTTGGATCATATATCACTGATAAATATTGCCTAACAGTAGAATTCAGGACGCATGTTTCATCCTATTCGGGACTCGCCAGATGTATGTACTTGCCTCTTAGTGAGTGATTTTGTTCGCAAAGACTCAAACCAATCGCTTTAAACGTCAGAGTATCAGGAGTGGTTTTCGTGACCCAGTGGCTTAGTGGATAACACTCTGGCACTTGGAATGATTTTTCCTGGGTTCGAGTCTTAGTGGGAACAACATCGATCACTAGGACGAAACGCGCGTCCTTAATTCTACTGCTACCCACTATCCATCACTAATACCGCCTAGTTTGATTTTCACAAAAAAAACGTTTACTACCTCGTTTACATAGGGATTTATATACATGTAGATAAGATTTATTGAACTTATTCATTATAACAAATACACAGCACTTGGCTACAATGGAAAGTCAAACACCAGCTTTACGATAAAGTCTAACTGCTCAATAGGGAAAACTGAATATCTATCATGTGCACACACGTAAGCCAAAACAACAAATATAACTTATATTTAATGTCAACTTTTCACTCGGCGCCTAATACTTGTGAAACTATCGGTCAAATCTCGACCAGGATTTCGACAAAGAAATATAATTCTGAAAATTCAGTTACTATCTTAAACGTAATGTATTCATATTAACTGCTTTTAAGAGGATGGCAAAGGAAAAGAAATTCAACAGTATTATGCTTTAAAAAGTCATTGGAAGTCAGATATACTTTATCCAATGCCTATATTTAGAAGGAATTTCTACTTAACCTAGTATTCATCCACTAAGTAGTTTGGTGTATATCATATGGTTTGAAACTGTCTTTAATCTTACCTCTTTTTTGAAGTACGAACGTTTCATGCGTAAACTTTGTAGGGTATAAATGTACAAAAATACATAATATAATATTATATAAATTAATAAATATAAGTAAGTTGTTGACTCCGAATTTCCATCAGTCAACAAACCTGAATCGCGTTAAATTACTTCTTTCATAACAATCAGATTATGCTTATACTTTCAATACATATATATATATATATATATATATATATATATATATATATATATATATATATATATATATATATATATATATATATACCTGGAGTATACACTGGTCTTAACAACAGGGTTTTTGTGAAAATATTTTTATGAAGTAGCGGCTGTCTAACAGTCAGTGTTATACTCTTTTCCCGGCGTTTCAGTTCACTAAAAAGCGGGCGGAGATAACGTACTATGATTACTGACACAACACTGTAGTTTGTAATATTTCTCACTGGATGTACTGCGTAGAATTTTACGAAGCACCAAGTACTTGATTATTGTGTTACTACACACTATTCAGCAAGGTATGTTTGGATATTTGAAAAATTACATACTGTCAACAAGATATAATCTGTTGGCAATCAGTTCTTATGTCAAAAATATAATATTGTAAGATTCTATAAAAATCACCAAAGAGCTTACAGAAGTTTACACTATTTATAGCGCAACTGATTCTTTTCTTATCTATTCTCATATGTTTTTTTTTCAAATTCTATTAAGTTTCTCTCCTGGTTCATAGTCAAATTATTATGATCTCTCCTAAAGACGTACATAACCGTCTGTCTATGAAATGTCATGAAAAAGTAACTAAATTTTCTTATCATATATGTTCTATCACCTTTAGTCGATTATTGATTATAATAAAAAGTTCAGATCGTAGCAGTGAGAAAAAACAACCAGAAGAGGATATGACACGATGATTGATTACCGACATCATTACACTATATTCTCATGGAGGAGTTATTCGAAATAGGGAAAATGAGACTAAAGTAGAATATAATTTTGGAAAAGGCAGCGGATTAAAGAAAAGACTGTCCTTCTTCTCACCCGTTTTTCGCATAGTTTAGTCACATTTTAGTATATAATTCGACAGGTGCTATTATTATCGTCATTCTTATCATTATTATTATTTTTGTTATTATTAAGCGAACTACTGTCATTTACTAGTCTCTCTTGATTAAAACACTTGCCATACCTCAGAAAATGCTAAGAACGTTTTAAAACAATATACTTTTCTCTTAAAATTGGTGATTAATCCGTGTTCACTGAAATTTCGTTTCTGTATTTAATACAACGCACAGTGACTTAAAATCTTATCCGATAACTAGCTGCTGAACACCTTATGATGTTCGTTTATTGAAATCAATGACACAGGATCTTTCAACAAGTATCTTTCCTATTGAAATAAAAACTGAAACATCTCTGTTTTCTTCCTGTTAAGACCAATGCCTTCCAGTCTATCTTCTAAGCTTTGGATTAACTGAGATATTATATGCGATTTCCAGTTCAAATTGAATCTTATTTGTAAACTGAGGATTGGTTTGACTGAACTTAAGGGTATATGAGGGCGGTTTCTCTGGATTCTTCTTAGCAATACAGCAGCACATCTAGGCTTCTGTTTCTTTATGTCCGTAAGGAAATAAATTGGGTTGTGTTGTAATCTGACTGGCTTAAAGCCTAAACAGACTAGTAGTTCACGGTTACTCATGAGGTTTATTATAGTTGTGTGTATGTAAGCGTATCGTAGACGCCTGCGTGGAGCTTGGGAAAGGCAAGGCATAGAGAACCAGACCTGGACCTGGATATGTCAGCCAAGTATTTACACTCCACCTAATTCTGGGACACAAGCGCGCTTACCGACGCCCTACAGTAGCTGTATTTCTCAACTTGAAGGCGGTATTTGACTCGGTCGACTGAGAAGTCTTATGGCAGTGTATCTCACTGAAAGGAGTACTCATTAAGTACACCACTTTGTTGATGGCTTTTTTACTGGGACCCCCTTTGGTGTTACAGCCTATGGTGAGTTGTCAGGTGAGCTGTGTACATCGAGTGGTGTTCGTCAAGGAAGCCCACTCTCTATTCCTATTCATTTTTGTCATAGATCTTCCTGTTGTCATCTGACTACACAGAAATTGACCTGATCACGGGAGTTTTTTGGGTGGACCTAGAATATGTAGATGACATAGCCCTATTAGGTGAAAATGCTGAATCTTCTGGGCAGCTTGAGTGGCAATTTAAGAATGTTTGGGATGCGTTTCTCACCACCCAAGTTCAAATTGTTGCTCCAGGACTGGTCTTAAACGTTATCTCGACTAACATTAGAGAGTAAAATGATTGACCACGTTTAAAATTTCACTTACCTGAGAAGTCAGATCAGCCCTAGTGGCTCAGCGGCCGATGAAATGTCTACACGGACGCAAAAGGCTTGGTTGGGTTTTGCCAACTTACGCCATTTGTGGCTCCATCACGAAATGCGATTATCTATTAAGAGTCGAGTGTACTGTGCTGTAGTTCGTTCTGTTCTATTTTATCACTGTTAGACATGGGCATTGAAGGTAGAAGACATGAGA